CCTTTATAGGAAAACGTTTAGTCTTCCTTAAGAAGACAAACTCTCATCACTGCTTTGTATCGAACGTTTGCTCTCCTGCTCCTTTGCACGTCTCTGGGTTTTTCGTCAGCTTTTCATCGTCTGTCTGAAATCTGTGCAACGAGAGCTGTCAATACATGACAGAGTTCAGAGGTTAACGCTCACTCCGACACATTTTCCAGCGTGTGACTGAACTCCCTGTGGACCGGCCGTCAGTCACAGCGATGCAGGAACAAGAGGACGGCCGCTGAGCGTCAGTGATCAGGCCAAGTCAGACTAACTGAACCCTGAAACTGGTCACGCTTTCTACATTCACTCTAAATGCTTTTATTTCCCCTATAAACACAAACCTGACTGATATTTAATGGGATAGACCAACAGAAAGGAAATATAAAGCAGAACGAAGAAAAATCCAAGAGAAGACTCCAGCTGTGTTTAATTTAATCTCAGTCTAAATGCAGCTGATCTGTGGAGGCATCAGGATTATGGAGACCGAGGAGCCCAGGTCAGAGGTCAGGGGTGAATCTGAGGGGAAGCTTAAAGCTCTGTTCAGTCCATCATGCGAACACGGGCCAAATGGAGGCCTACCAAAACCCAGAGAGGCTCACAGTGACGCTAGAATCACATCAGATAAAAGCCCAACACACGTGTCTGTAACCAGATAAAATGGTGTGAACAGCATTCAGTGTTATTGGATCCATTTCCTTGATCTTCCCTCCACGTGGTCGTTTCTTTTTAATAAACGAACAGAGACGCTGGCCGCCGTTAGCCGTCTGTTAACTCACTGATCGTTTCTCCGCTGTCGGTCTGAACAGGAGCCATCAGGTTCTGGGCTCAGAAACAAACGTTTAAACATGAAGACATTATTTAGTTTCTAATCTGGCAGCTTTGCACAGGCTCTGCTCTGGTTAATTGTCTCCTTGTGTCTCTGATTATCGCGTTCTGTTTGGCTTCTCTTCAGCCAACTGGGATCAGCTCTGGACCGGCTCTGTTGGATCAGCAGTATGGCTTCATGTTTAACTCGTCACATAATCATTTTTTCAATCTTACTATCATTTATTCATTTTTTAAAGCAGTTAGCAATAGTATTTTTTTAACGGAGAAGTATATTTTATGTTGAATGTCATCAGCTGAGCTTTTTGTTTTTCTATTTTCTCAGTCCTGAACTCTCAGGATGTCACATGATGGAGAAACAACTCAAACTCTGTGTTCATCCTGCTGGAGGTTAGGGTTGCCAGCCGTCCCTTGAAAAACGGAATTGTTCCGTATTTAGAAATAAAAGTACCTGTCCCGAATTTATTGGAAAAGGAACGCACTTTGTCCCGTATTACTGTGAAAGTAAAAAAATAGTAAAAAGCTAATGGAAAATAGAAAAACAAGGGCACTTTAGATACAAAACTTACGGTAAACTTGTTCCGGGGCCCTGACCTGCGTTGTGACCAATGAGCTGACAGCATATATGTAACTATCCAGAATACCCTCATCCCATTGGTCGAGCCAAGTGTTGCTCATGGAGATGATAGCGGGAGACAACAGAGCAGGATGGGGGACGAACGGAGTAATTGAAATGCTGACGCTGCTCTTGGGGGCATAGCGTTGCTCCTCCTCCGAAAAAAAAAATGGATGCAGAAATATAGGGAGGAATGGGGAAAAAACAAATATCTGGGTGGGAAAAGTCTCTGATAATGAACATAAAGCACAGTGGACGGTGTGCCGGTGTAGGTACCAGATCTGCTCGGGGTCCTGATCCTTCTTATGACGTCAACATATTATTATCTATATTTGCTATTATTTTACATTTCATTGGCGATTTAATGTAGCCGAAAGTATAAAACAATCATTCTGAGTCTTGAAGGAAGGTACTGCCTCCTAAGACTGAGCCCTGCCATTTAACAAGGTGACAAAAATAAAAAGTCTCAGCTTATTTTTATTCTTTTAAGATCTGAGGGAAGGGATGGACAAATGGAACATCATAAAAATTACTTTTATAGAGATTTTAGACAAATAAAACAGTTTTTCTGCTTGTAGAAAACGAACTTGTTGTTGACACAAACTTAATAGTAGTGTAGCTTAATACGGCTAACTGACCAAGCTAATAAAGGCTAACCTGTTAGCTACTGAGCACAGCTAGCCACAGCGCTAACTAGCTCTTCCCCTTCACACCATGGTCTACCAGTTACTTTGTTCACCATAAACATATTTTTTTTTCCAGTTTTGTCATCAATCAGTAAAACTTTAGACGTTAGATACTAAGATGCTCCCGACTCTGCACACGAATGCCAGGTGATGTTATTATCGTCGCCTGGGCAACCACAATGTTTTACATCATTTGGCAACGTTCAGCCAATCATGTAGCATCACTGGCATGAAGCAGGACCTGAGCAGATCTGGTCGCTACATTGGCGAGCTTTCTCTGTAGCCCATGGCGGACTGTCAGATTAGAGCCAACATGCTGCCAGTGGCGGACACCTGCCTGCCACGCACATCAGGTGTCCCTTTTTTTTTTCCCAGGCAGTTGGCAACCCTACTGGAGTTTAACTGCATCCCCTAAAGGATCCCAAACTTCTTCTTTGTTCTTCTGAAACAGTTTTGAACTCTGAGCCCTTTGAAGGCAGTAAACGCCTCGTCTAGCTGGGATGAAGGTTTTCTGTGGCGGAAAAGAAAAATAATCATAAAACTGAATTCTTTTCATAATTTTCTGTAACAGGACTGAACTGAAGTTGAAGCCTCTTGCTGGATTGTTTCCTAACTTGTTATTCTTGATTATTCGGGTCACCTTTTCGTCCCGATGCTTGAGTCAGAGGTGGAAACTTGATGCTCAGCTTTGCCTCGAGTTCCTCGTAAAATTTTTAAAAACAAGCAGATCAGATTTAACTGAGATTTTTTCACTAAAGACTCCGTATTAAGTCTTAATTAAAACCTATTTGGCAGGAAAGCGACGCTGAAAAGCTCAGGAAATGACTGATGCCCCCTCTGACTGATGGTGTAACTGTGGCGTACACAAAGAAGTGGTTGCCATGGTAACCGTAGAAGGGGATCTCTGTGGCACTGAGCAATAAAACATTTGACGTCTCGCCACAAACTTTAATCCTTTAATCCTGGAAATGTCGACTCCAGTTTATGTCGGGATTTTATACCAAGGGCATTTTTTAAAGATTATTTTTAGGCTGTAGTGGCCTTTATTTTGTTATTTTCGATACTATGGAGAGGAAAGTGGGTTAGATGACTATTCAGCAAAGGTCGGCAGGGCCGGGACTCCAACCTGCAACAGCTGGTATACGGTTAGTGCGCCCTACCTCCACGTCATAGCAGCAGTGCTATACCAAGGACTAACTAACTTTGAAGAAGGAGTTTTTATTCAGCTCACTGTAGATCCAGCTCTTAGACTTAGACAACTTTTAATGTCATTTGTGTCTACAAAACAAAGGTTCTTTTTGCACAGCTTTCAGACAGTGAAAGAGCAGCAGTAAAATGATTATTTTCATTTCATAAAGTGCAGCAGTGATAAAAAAGAAAAATGGTGCAAAACTGCATTTATGTGGAGTTTTAGAGCATTAATATGTATATGGTGTAAATATGCAGTGTTTTTTGGTTTGGTTTTATCAGTGTGATGCAGAGTCTTTGACTTGATTTAGTGTTTATTCAACAGTTCATCAGTCTGATGGCAGTGGGGAAGAAGCTGTTGCAGAATCTGCTGGGCCTGCATCAAATGCTGCAAAGCCTCTTCCCAGAGGGCAGCAGGGAGAACAGTCCATGGGGGTGTAAGGGGTCATTAATGATGTTATGGGATTGGGACAAGCAGCACTGGGATGAAATGTCTTTAATGGAGGGAAGAGGAGCCCCGATGATCCTCTCTGCTGTTCTTACCACTCTTCCCGCCTTCTTCCAGTCTGCGGCGCTGCAGCCTCCACACCACACAGTGAGACAGCTGGTCAGAACGCTCTCTATGGTGCTTCTGTAGAAGGTGGTGAGGATGGGTGGGGGCAGGTGAGGGTGTCTGTGATGTGCACCCCCAGGAATTTGGTGCTGTTGACCATCTCTACAGCTGAGCTGTTGATGAGCAGTGGAGCGTGGTTAGGACGGTTCTTCCTGAAGTCCAGGATGATCTCCTTCATCTTCTTCACGTTCAGGATCAGGCTGTTATTTCTGCTCCACCAGCTGCTCCTCCTGCTCTCTGTAGTTCAGGTCGTTGTCGTCTCTGATGAGGCCCACCACTGTGGTGTCGTCTGCAAACTTCACGATGTGATTGATGGTGAACCTGGGGGCTCAGTCATGTGTCATCAGGGTGAACAGCCTGTGTTTAGTTTGATGACATCAGAGGTGTTCTGACTGAGCTCTGTCCCTGCAGGTCCTCTTCACCAGCTTCTGTAAACATCAGTTTTAGTTTAGTCTTATGTTTAACCATATTTGGGTCTGGGCTTTGACTAGGCCGTCAAACCTCCCGTTTAAATTTCTGGCTGTATCTTTTTAGGGTTGTGGTCCTTCTGACAGGTGAAAGTCCCCCTTAGGCTCTAGTTTGCTGCATCCTGTGAAGCCTGATCTAACGTCTCAGTTTTCTACATAAAGAGGGAAGTTTGGACTGCTTCACCTCTCAGTAAAATACAAAAGAGGTTTATAGTTTTTCAAGGAAAGTTGTGGAAAATTGAACAAGAATATTGGTGGATTAATCCAGGTCTGCAGGCAGAATTAAAGCAGGAAGAGTTTGCTCAGTTTTCCAACATCACCCAGAAGCTCCTGATCATTTTCCACCATCTTCAGCGGGTTCTGGTGTTTGATCATCGGTTCCGTTCACAGGAAGAAACTGAGAAACGCTGACCAGGTGTTGTTTCCAAAAGGTGGAGCAGAGAGCGGGAAAAAATGCCCCCTCTGCCTCTCAGCATGTAATTACAGACCAGGCTGAGGAATCTGGAGCTCTCCCCTCCTGCTCAGAGGGAGGAGGAGGAGGAGGAGGAGGAGAGGAAGGTGGGAAACATGGATGAGGAGGAGGACAGGATGACAAAGGAAGGAAGGAGCTAACGAAGGAGATGAAGCACACATTGGAGAGCTGAGATGAAGGAGTGTTTTGTGTGTGTGTGAGGCGAGGTTTGTGATTGGCTGAGCCCGGCGAGATGCACCAACAGCCAAAAGAAGACGGGAACAGAGGAGGAGAGGAGGGCTGCAGAGAATACAAAGAGCAAGTGTGTGAGAGCGAGAGAGAGTGTGTGTTCTCGCTAATGTTTCTGTGTGTGTGAGGCTTCCAGAGGTGTGTGTGAGTGCAGCAGCGAACAGAAAGCCAGGAGGAGGAGGAGGAGGAGGAGGAAACCTGATCCCTCTCCCCGTCTGCCCGTGTGGAGCTGCTCCCATCGTCCTCAGCATCGCTGCTAGCTTAGCCCGGCCCGCTTTCAGCTCACTTTGGACCCCCGGCGTGGTGGGGATCTCCAGGATGGAGCGGTTCCTGGCCCTACTGCGCCTCCTGAGCAGGAGGAGGCGGGGGAGAAGGTACCGGGCGGATGACGACTACCAGGAGGGCTACGAAGACGTTTACTACTACACCAGCAAGTACAACACACACCTTCTGAGTGAGTGTGAGGGCGGCACGCCGCAGGCAGGGCAGCTTATCAGCAGATAATCGGTGCTGAAGGAGCTCCAAGCGCCGGCTGGACTCCTCCTCAGACACCAGAGGGTTTCAAACCATCAGGCTGAGTGCAGAGAGCAGGTGCACGCCAGGCTCCCTGCTATCTGACTTTAAAATCAGGTGAAAATGCGACCGTGTAGTGGCTTCTTCATTATAGATGAGGGTCTTTTCTCAGTTACAGCACACAGGTATCCAGGTGACGCCGCCGGCCCAGGTGGTGAGTTGGTAATAACAAGGCAGGAAGTGTTTACTAGAGGAAGGAATGTGGGAAATGCACGCAGTAATTCCAGGTTTCTGTTGCTGCTTATTCCTATAAACCTTCAAACTTCCCCAAACAGGCTCTAAAACCCAACAGGGATGCTCCTCTTTGTCCTTTAGCTTTTATTTCGAGGCAGACTTTTCCACCTGCTGATGCAGACTGTTGTCCAAAGCTCCTAAATGCAAATAAGGGGAAAAGTGTTGAACTTTTTTTGATGTAAAGTAATTATTTCATAATAGATCATCAGCCTTTATGCATCACCTTCCTCTGATTCTTATTACCCAGACAGAAGATGGTTTGGATCCATTGGTTTGGTCATCATTGGGCTTGATCATCACAGGTTAGAACCAATGGAGGGAAAATTGACCCACCTGGATCTTTAATCCTCAGTCTGTTGTTTAGTGTAAAGTTTTGTTTCTCTGCCTTGTTTGCAGGCAGAATGTGTTGCTTCATTTCTGACAACACTGCTGCCTCTAACAAAGCTGAGCTGTCTTTGCTCTGACAGCTCCTTCCATTCGTCCCTGAATAAATTTACAAATCAGACCTCTGTGGTTTCTCACATCAGCCTGGATCTGTTGATGAAAACGCAGACTGTTTGTGGAAGGTGTGGCGCTCTCAGCCTCATCCACCAGGTTCCTCACATTTTCCAATGAAGCATCAAGATGGCAACAAACATTCTTTCTTTCTTTCTTTCTTTCTTTCTTTCTTTCTTTCTTTCTTTCTTTCTTTCTTTCTTTCTTTCTTTCTTTCTTTCTTTCTTTCTTTC